AAGAGCACCGAAAGAGTAATTATAGTATGGTTCAGGAGGCTTCTTTCGATTATGATAGTCGTGGATTGTTGACTCTGCATTAGAAGGTTTTGGTTCCGTATTCGAGTGGTGTACGTCAGGTTCTGATGGAGGAGGTGCACAAGTCTAGGTTCTCCATTCATCCCAGGGTGACGAAGATGTATAAGGATGTTTGTCATGATTATTGGTAGCCCTGCATGAAGTGGGATGTGGCCTGGTATGTGGAGCGGTGCTTGACTTGCAGGAAAGTCAAGGTCGAGCATCAACGACCTCACGAAAAGATGCATCCGTTGGAGATTCCCGTATGAAAATGGGAAGATATTACCATGGATTTTATCACGAAGCTACCCCGGACTGCGCATGAAGTGGATTCGATTTGGGTCATCGTAGATCGTTTGACCAAGAGTGCGTATTTCATCTCGATTCATGAGAGTATTTCTGCAGAGAAGTTGGTTGAGATTTATATCTGGGAGGTTGTGGCACGTCATGGGGTGCCGATATCAGTGGTTTCTGATAGTGATGTCCGGTTTACTTTTAGGTTTTAGAAGAGGTTTCATGATGATTTGAACACTCGTCTCCATTTCAGCACAACATTCCATCTGCAGACCGATGGTAAGAGTGAGCGGACCATTCAGACACTAGAGGATATGCTGTGAGGCGTGTGTTCTGTATATTGGCGGGATTTGGGATACGTACTTCCGTTAGTGGACATTTCATATAACAACAGTTATCACACTAGTATTGATCGAACTCCTTTCGAGATTTTCTACGGGAGGAAGTGTAGGACCCGTATTTGTTGGGGCAAGGTTGGTCAGCGGGTTATGGGGAGTACCGAAGTGGTACACAAAACTACTGAGTTGGTACAACAGGTTCGAAGTAGGCTCCGGACAGCTTAGAGTCGGTAGAAGAGTTATGTCGACAGGCGCTGGTCAGAGTTAGAGTTCCAGGTGTGAAATATGGCTCTCCTGATGGTGTCACCTTGGAAAGGTGTCATCCGGTTCACGAAGCGGGGAAGCTAGGCCCCAGGTATATTGATCCCTTCAGGGTTTTGGCTTGGATGGGTCGGTTTGCTTATCGCTTGGATCTTCCAGATGAGCTCATTCAGATTCATAGCACGTTCCATGTATCTCAGCTATGGAAGTTCTTAGTGGATGATTTCGTAGTGGTACCATTAAAGGATATTCAGGTGGATCACCGCCTGAATTATATTGAGAGATCAGTGGCGATTCTGGATCGGAAGATGAAAACCTTGAGGAATAAGGTTTTGGAGTTGGTAAAGGTGCAATGGCAGCACCAGAAGGGTTTAGAGTGGACTTGGGAGCCGAAAGATGAGATGAGGGAGCACTATTCGGAGTTATTTGGGGCCGCAGACTTCGAGGACGAAGTCTAATTCAAGTGGGGGAGAATTGTAATGCTTGTTATGAGTAGGTTTCATTTTTTCCCTTTATCTTTTAAAGTCAGCATTTTGGCCCATGGATTTAGTATGCGGGGTGTAGCACATGGTATGCTTAGCGTACTAGATGAGAAGCTAGTACGTAGGGTGTACTACATGGTACGCTTAGCGCACTAAGGGGGAGGTGGATCGAAAGTACGAGGATTACGCTTAGCGTAAGCGGAGGATAATGAAACCCTAATTTTAGGGTGTTACACCCTATTTAAGGTCCTTAAGTCCTATGGCTGGCCTCTTTATCATCTCTATTTCCCTAAAACCCTAAATCTCAACCCTTAGCCTCCATTGTTGTGTCTTTGAGCTTTTGAGAAGAAGTTGGTGCTTATTTTGCTCATTTTGAAGGGATTGAAGAAGACTGAAGGTGCATTGCTTAGTGGGAAGTTTAGAGATCCAGAATCATCACTTATTTTTTGAGGTATCAAGCTCATACCTTGTCATCTCCATGTTTAGTTATCTTCATCTCTTGGTTGGTTATGCTCTTGGTCCCTTTTGGGTTAGCTTGATGGGTTAAGTCATTTGTGGAGCTTATTCTTTTAGATTTGGGCATATTATGAGTTTCTTAGACGTAAAGTTAGCAACTTTATGGTGTTTATGGCCTCATACATGCGTTAAGTCATCCATTAAGTCCTTTTGAGCTTTAAGAGCTTCATTATCATGAATGCACATAAAGTTGGAAATAGAGGATGGATGAAGGAGGGAGTACGTTGGGCGTACAAGTAGGTACGCTTAGCATACAATCCCTAAGGCGAGTACGCCCTGTGTATTGAGCAGAGTGGGCCTCAGAACATTTGGTCTTCGTTTAGGGACATATTTTGGGCCTAGATGTTTATGGTTTGGTTGGGCCATCTGAATTCAGGTTTTTTGGGCTACGAATATTTTTGGACCTTAGATTAAAGCCCATAAAAGGGGTTTGGGCCCAATTTGGAAAATTGGGCCAAGATTGGGCCTTGGATGATTATTTTGGTATTTGGGCCTTTTGGATGGTAGGTTTGGGCTTAGTCTTGGACCAAACCAGGTAAGGGGTAAAATGGTCATTTTACCATAGCTTTGGACTAATGGTTATCGACTGGAATCTAATTATTAATTGGATGTTATTTGGTATTGGTAGCTCGCGGATTTATCGGACCAACAGCCAGAGATTTATTTGTGTGATTCAGCAGTTCGATGTGCGTTTCATCATTGAGTTTAGCGGGTCGAAAGCACCAATGTCGTCCCATGATTACGTTATGTTAGGGTGCTAGATGTCTGTGTGACTCTTGAATGTGTTATGTACTTGTATACATACCGGGAGGGGCTCGATGACCATTTTGTATGCTATGTATCTTTGTGATTATTGCATGTGTATGTTTTTATATGATATATGTTTATATGTATGTCGGGCGGGTTCCGATCTGTATACCGAGCGGGGCCCGATGAAGCTTTTGGGCCATTATAAGTCTTAAACATGGACCTTTCTACCTCTTGTATGCTAGATCTAAGTTCTAAGCTCGTTATTACATGTTTGTGTTGGATTGCATGCTTGGGATCCATAAAGTTGGAAACTTTATGGATTATTGAGTCATTCTCTATAATATAGTCTATGGATCCGAGTTTTGGTATAGTTTGAGACTCCAAGAATGAGTCTAGATCTCATTTTTCCCACTCTTGACCTAGTAAGAGTTTGAAATTTATGCATTGGACATGCATGACTGAAAAGATTCGATTTTTATCATCCTTTAGGTAAGAGAAGACCATCCGGAAAGTCCCAAGATATGGTTGTAAGGAATAAGAGCTTAATGCTCAAAGCTGGTCAGTACATATCTCACGACGTGAGGATTAAGCCTGTCGCGTCTTGAGAATACTAGCCATCATGACTATTTTTTCAGGATTGGGTCACGTCATGACTCATGGTATGGTCGCGGCGTGACAAGGATTGGAATCATATCGATGGGCTGAGTTGACCTGTTGAGTCGGGACTGGGTCGATTTGGTGCTTACGACGTGACCATGAGTTGGTCACAACGTAAGAACCATCAGCTGGAGTTTGGACCATTGACTTTGGGCCTTGTTGGGACATTAGATTTCTGTTTTGGGCTTTTTTTAGTATATTGGGATCTCATGGATTTAGATCCATCGTGGGTTTTGGGTCCAATCTAGAAGATTGGCAATATTGGGCTTGGTTTGTCATTTAGGATTTGGACCTTTTTGAATAGATGGGCTGCCTTGATTTTGGGCTAAGTAAGAAAAAGGGTAAAATGGTCTTTTACCCTTGATATTGGACAAGTAGCTTAGATTCTTGAGTACGGGTCAAGATCCAATTATTAATTGGATATTATTTTGTGATGATAGCTCGGGGATTCTCTGGACCAGCATGCAAAGTTCATATGAGTGTTTCAGTAGCTGGACGTGAATTTCCTCACTGTATCAATGGGTCGAAGGCACCTAGGCTGGCCCATTACTTGTGATATATGATGCTAGTTGTGTTTGTGATATGTGTGCGGAAGACTAGGAAGTGGCCCTTGGTAATTGAATGAAAGACTAGGATGTGGCCCCCGACAATCTGTAAGAAAGACCAGGATCTGGCCCTTGGCACCTGTATGGAAGACCGGGATTTGGCTCCCGACAAGAAAATACTTGTAAGACTATGATTTGGCCCATGAAACTAACTTATTTATGTTTGGTATGTGGTACTTTGGGGAAACTCACTATGTTTTTGCTTACAGTTTATATTTATGGTATCAGGTACTTCTGGTACTAAGGGGAAGGGCTCAACATGATGGAACAACATTCTCCCCTCACTATTTTCCGCAAATTTTTGATTTTGTAACTGTGATGATTTGACATTGTACTTTGTGATGGTTTTTGGAACAATTTGATGATTTTAATTTCTTTTTACAAATGAAAAATTTTATCAAGGTTTTTGGCCTGTTACAGAGAGTTGGTGACTCACGGGGAAAGTGATCAATGGGGACTAGCTCTCTATTCGACAGTGAGGGCCAAGCGGTATCTTCAACAAGGACGTTATGGTTTCATGGTTTATGTGATGGATGCTCGGGAGAAGAGCAAGGATACCATTGATGATATGCCGGTTGTTCGAGAGTATCTTGATGTATTTCCCGAGGATTTACCATTAGTGCCTCCAAAGAAGTAGGTTAAGTTTCGGATCGATTTGGTCCCATGTGCGACTTTGATAACCAAGGCACCTTATCGGCTAGCACCTCCGGAGATGCAGGAGTTGTCTGCACATCTGCAGGAGCTGTTAGACAAGGGATTCATTCGGCCAAGTAGTTCACCTTGGGGAGCACCGATCTTGTTTTGTGAAGAAGAATGATGGGTCTCATCGGATGTGTATCGACTACTGGGAGTTGAACAAGCTAACGGTGAAGAACCGTTATCCACTCCCAAGGATCAACAACCTGTTTGACCAGTTACAGAGTGCACCTTGGTTTTCCAAGATCGATTTGTGTTCGGGGTGTCATCAGATGAGGGTTTGAGACGTGGATGTTCAGAAAACGGCCTTCAGTACTTGTTATGGTCATTACAATTTTGTGGTGATGCCTTTCAGACTCACTAATGCTCCGACAACGTTCATGGATCTCATGAATCGTGTATGCATGCCGATGTTGGATCGGTCGTTGATCGTCTTCATTGATGATATCTTGGTCTATTCTAAGAACAAGAAGCAGCATGAAGATTATTTGCGAGAGGTTTTGGAGACTTTGAGGAATGAGAAGATCTATGCCAAGTTCTCCAAGTATGAGTTCTGGTTGCACGAGGTTCAATTTTTGGGGCACCTTGTCAACCAGAAGGGTATATTAGTCGATCCGACCAAGATCAAGGTTGTGATGCAGTGGGAGGTTCCGAGGTCTCCATCTGAGATTCAGATCTTCCTTGGTTTGGCAGGCTACTATCGGAGGTTTATCGAGAATTTCTCAAGGATTGCAGCTCCAATGACCAAATTGACAAAGAAGACAGTTACTTTTCGTTGGGGGCCTGAGCAGCAGGCGACATTTAAGACTCTGAGGAAGAGACTATGCGAGGCTCCGATTCTGACTCTACTGGAGGGCGTGGATGATTTTGTGGGTTATTGTGATGCTTCTATCACAGGTTTGGGTGCAATGCTTATGCAGAGGAGTCATGTCATCGCTTACGCTTCAAGGCAGCTGAAGCCTCATAAGGCGAACTACCTTACACATGATTTGGGGTTGAGGCTATGATTTTCGCCCTCAATATTTGGCGCCATTATCTTTATGGGGTTTGTTGTACTATTTACATGGACCACAAGAGTCTGATGTACCTGATGGATCAACCGAATCTGAATATGAGGCAGCACTAATGGTTGGATGTGGTGAAGGATTATGACTGCGAGATCCTTTACCATCTAGGGAAGGCCAATGTGGTGACCGATGCTCTTAGCCGTAAGGCGGCTATCACCCCGATTAGGGAAGTATGTTTGAGGATGACTGTGGTTACTCCACTTCTAGAGCAGATTCGAGAGGCTTAGGTTGAGGCTATGAAAGAGAAGCACCAGAAGAGTGAGTGTATTGTGGGTCAGGTGTCCTCTTTCGATTATGATAGTCATGGTTTATTATTGAATTTGAATCGGAGGGTTTGGGTTCCGTATCTGGCAGGTACCCGTCAGATTTTGATGGAGGAGGTGCACAAGTCGAGGTTCTCTATTCATCCTGGAGCGACGAAGATGTATAGGGACCTCCAGCTTGATTATTGGTGGCCCTGTATAAAACGAGATGTGGCTTGGTATGTGGAGAGGTGTTTGACTTGTAGGAAAGTCAATGCCAAACATCAGTGACCCCACGACAAATTGGAGTCGTTGAGTATTCCCGTTTGGAAATGGGAAGAGATTATGATGGACTTCATTACGAAGTTACCACAGATGACGCATGGAGTGGATTCGATATGGGTCATCGTGGATCGGTTGACCAAGAACGCACACTTTATCCCGATCTAGGAGAGCATCTCGGCTAAGAATTTGATTGGCATCTACATCCAGGAGGTTCTAACAAGATAGTGGACTTAGTGAAGGTGCAATAGCAGCACTGCAAGGGTTCATAATAGATGTGGGAGCCTGAGGGCAAAATGAGGGAGCATTATCTGGAGTTATTTACAGCAGTGGACTTTGAGGACGAAGTCTGATTCTAGTGGGGGAGAATTGTATCACTCGAGTTTCAGGTATTTTTCAGTATTAGCCCTTAATTAGAAAAGTTTGCATTTTGGTCCTTGTATACTAAGCGTAACTTGGAGTATGCCAAGCATACTCCCTTATAAGTTGGACACTGATCTTCGTGGTACGCTGGGTGTACCTGGCCAGGTTCCAAAACCTAAATTTCAGGGTTTAACCCCTATATAAAGACCATTGTAAGCCATGTGGCAGCCCCCTTATCAGCCTCCACTCACTCCCAAGCAGAACCACGAAACCCTAGTCCCCCATTGTGAGAGTTTGTGACCTTTGTGTGATTTTGTGTGCTTTTGGGTGTTCCTTGAAGAAAAATTCCACCATTGAAGCTTGGATGACCTCAAGCTTCTAGATCCAGATTCTTCATCATCTTGGCTAGAATTTGAAGGTATAAAGTTTCTATCTTGATGACTCGATGTGTTAGATATAGTCTAGTGCTTGGTTTTAAGCATAATGTGGTGCTTTGAGTCATCCTTGTGAGTATGAGCGACTACAGGAACTTAGAATAGTAGATCTTAGCTTTTCAGAGGCTGTTAATGCATAAAAATGTCATCTTGATGGGTTTGGATGGACCATGCTAGAGTTAGTACTCTTATATTGAACTTTGATGATTATAAATGAGTATTAGGTCCCATTAAGCCATGCAAATGTGTAAAGTTGCCAACTTTACGTAATAGGGCCTTAAAATGAAGTAGATATGTTGATTGGACATTAAGGGATTAAGGGATTAAGTCGAAAGTTAATAGAAAGGCTTACTGGCTAGTACGTCGGGCATAATTCTTGGTATGCTAGTAGGTTAGCGGCCCATTTTTCTGGTCAACTCGAGTACGTCGTGCGTACTGGTTGAGTACGCCCAACTTAATCTCATTTGTGGACTCGTGACTTTTGGGCCATTATTGGGCTTAACATCCTTTTGGGTTTGGGCTATGGTTTTTGGGCCAGTAAAGGGAAGGGTAAAATAGTATTTTTTTTTTTACCCGAGGGGTCGGGATTGATGAGTTAGGATCCCGGTTATGGATTATAACCTAATTATTGATTAGGGTTTTGTTTGTTTAGTTAGTGTGGGATTTAACGATTTGGCATCCCGAGCATCTATTTAATTTATCAGCGGATCGAGGTGAGTTTTCTCACTTATCATGTAGGATGCTAGTTGTCTACATGATACCTATATGAAAGACCCTGGATTTAGCTGGGGCATTTGTATGAAAGACCTCAGAGGTAGCTGGGGTACTTGTATGGAAGACCTCAGAGGTAGCCGAGGCATTTGGTTGTTAGACCTCGGAGGTATTCGGTGCATTCTAGGAAAGACCGCAGAGGTAGCCGGGGCACTTGGTTGGTAGACCTCGGAGGTAGCCGTGACATTTGGATGTAAAACCTTGGAGGTAGTCGGGGCATCCCAATGAAAGACCGTAGAAGTGGCTATGACATTATATGTATGATATGTGGTATTTTGAGGAACTCACTAAGCTTTGTGCTGATGATTTTTAGTTTATGTTTCAGGTACTTCCGGTTCGAATGGGAAGAGATCGGGATGATCGCATCACACACACCGTGTTTTTCGCATTTTTATCTATGATGTATTTTCGGATGATTATTGATATACTCTGATTTTCTAATTCAGGATTTATAAGTATGTTTGATGATTGGTTTTCTTAATATTAAAATGAAATTTTTAGTCTTAATTTTTTGGGACATTACAATATGTTTCATTGTATTAGGTTGTTATGATAGGCCCATAGCTTAGCTGTAGCCCACCGTGTACATATGTATTTGTATTGATATTAAGGTTAATGTAATTAATCAGTTCATAGGAAAATAACCTAATATCAAGTAGGATTGCGTATTTAAGATATTTTATTGTGGTCGCGTACATGTAAAATCCACTTTTCCGTTTTATTTTTTAAATATGTGTCTTGTACTCTTTTAGGAATTCGATTTAGTAAATAATAAGTGATTTAGTGCGAATGAAATGGAAATAATAATAATCGTAATTAAAATAAATACTATAAAAATAAAATTATTTAAAATGAAAATTAACATTATTATTATAAAACTGAAGAATGATTAATAAGGTAATTATAATAAACCTTGTTTTTTTACATTCTTGATTTAGTAAATAATAAGTGACCTTTCTTGCCAAGTTCGAATTTTTAGGGTAAAAAGTGTACAAGTTGTGAAAAGGGATTTTGTCTAGTAGACAACAAAGAGTACACCCTTTAGCCCATTGGACCAAAACCTTAGACTTTGACCTCTCTAAAACTGATTTTTTGTAAGAGAGGGGAGAAGGAGTAAGGCGTTTTGGGTGTTGTCTCTAGTTTCTATAGGGCTTAAGGGTACATCTCTTACTTTTTCTTTTCAAACCACCACACATCAACACTCACCACCGCCACCAGTGGTGGCTGTCATGGGAAAACATTACACCACCACTAGCCTAATGTCATTTAGGTGGTGGTGACGCCCCTTGAGCATAAGTACCTTGTCCATATTGTTTATACAATGCATTTCTTTCATTTCTAGATTAATGTTGCATTTCTTTTGTGAATTAGTTGGTGTGAAGGTGTTTATGCATCTAGTGACCACTGTATCACTACCAATCCATGGGGGCTGATGTGAACCCCCATTTTTAATCAAGGTTTTGACTCATTAATTGCTTTTATGGGGTGTGGTTGAAGACCAAACCCTTAAACCTCTTCTTATGAGCTCAATGTGAAGAAGTGTAATGTTTATGAGTCAATTTGTTTAAGTCCATAATCCATTAATTCAATTTATTGTTTGGTATCGGAAGTACTTTGTTTAAGTTCACATTTCATTGTTTTGATTGGTTATGGACTTAACCATTAAGGAATTAACGAGTTAACTGGAATGTAACCTCAAGTACTATGGCTTTGCAAAATTATGAAATTGTTCACTAGCTCTGAAAAATCATATTAAATCATTGGAAGGTTCGATTTGCAAGAAAAATATGTCCATGGAAAGATATAGACATCTAGTTTCATCCATACCAAGGGCGTAATCTAATTACATCTACAAATGTTGATCACTTTGGTCCTTTTGTAAAAATCACAACTAAATCTAGAATGCTCCATTTTATGAGGTTTCTTTATGGATTTTGGTAAGAATTTTAGATTCTTCCATAAATTAGGCTAGGTCTGATTCCACCCTAAGTTGGATGGAATTGGAATTTATTAAAGATTGGTCTAAAATATGTTGTTTTTATTAGTCATTTTGTAAAATGTGTAAATAAATCTAGGAAAATCCTAAGTCTAAGAATCCAAGGGTGAGTTTATGGAAGGGTCTAGTTTTTTACATAGTTTTTCAATGGAATTATTCTTATCCCATATAGGGTGTTGATGACCATTTTCACTGATTGGTCCAGGAAAGGGGGAAATTTTTTATGGTCAATTTGTAAAATCATTAGAAATTGAAAGAAAATTAATTAGAGCATATGTTTTACATCCCTGAAAAGCTAAGGGAATGTTCTTTAATAACTAGCATCAACATTTCATCATTTGGGGTTTAGAGGAGTCAATCGTTCCATGATCCAGTTGATATAGCGATTTAAAAAGTAGTTGTAAAGTGTAGTATTAAGTATTATTAGGAAATAATTGAGGAATGAACTAAATATGGGTTATTGATGTATCGTAGGCATTTAGAGAGGGAGAAGTTCAATTATCCCACATTAGTAGTGTTACTTAGATATAACACCAGTCAAATTTAGGTCAAAAATAAATTGTTCAATAATCTTAATTGGGATGAAAAAAGTGGTAGAGATTGTAACAAGGTTTCCAAAAATATAAAGAACACTGAAATCCGAGTTATAACGAAGAAGTTATGACCAATCGAATATTCGCGACAAAACCGGCAAAACACTATTCAGTGTAAAAAGTGGATTTTCAATAAAAGGCTTTTTAGCCATAACAATATAAATGAAAGTTGTAGATTATGTTAAACCGAGAACTTTCATAAAAAGAACGTCAAAATCTGACTTCGTATGAGGAAGTTATGATTTTTCTAAGTTTCGGT